CCTCCACGATTTTCGAGGAGGAAAACCGCAACGGCGCGCTCTTTTGTCATATCCGTCAGTTGCGCTTAAAGTATACGGCCGGCACAACACAACGGCGTAATAAAAGAACCGCCTCCTTTGACGTAACGCTCCAATACACGAGAGAGTGCAGTACTGGTTTGCTCCCTCTCACTAGAAAAGAGAAAAAGAAAAGAGACGAAAATGGCGCTTGAGTTCTACAGGTAAACACAGACAAGACGTACGCTAGATTACTGAGCACAATCGAAAATGTTCACGACGCTGTGACAAAAAGGTCGGTCGCAGTCGTAAAGCGGCGCGGCTAGCCTGCGACAGCTAAGGTCCCTAGATCTAGGGACTTTAGCGACAGCGAGCGCCGTGGCCTACGTGCGGCCGCCACCGTGCCTCCACTCCCCTGGATTCGCTCGCAGGATTTCAAGCTGGACGGTTGTGCCCTCGCGATCTCCGACTTCAGCGTAGCTCCCGCCGACTGGTTCGCCCTCCGCGGTCTCCTGATGCCGTGTAGCTCTCGCATTGTGGCACCCCGCCCTTGGACTGCTTCGACCGGATCCCCACTTTCCTATCTCCTTCTTTTTCCTCTCGTTGGCTGTCTTCTTCTGCTTCTACTTTCCTTCTATCCTTTTTATCCCTCCTTAACCCCACCCCTATAAGGCACTGCGCCGTGTCGCCTGAAGGCAGACAGAAATTAGGTGCCTTTTTCCTCTTCATTGTAACCACTACCACCACCACCACTCCCCTCCACCCCCTCAACAAGCGACCTTCCGCTCGCTGGCGCTCGAAGCTGTTGGTGCGCTTTCGCCCCTTGATTGCGTGTTGTTGGGGTACCATCGCCGCTTCGACGGGCAACAAAGAAGCGGCAGTGGCGAGCGCGCACACGATAAAAATGTAATTCAGCGTGTTTAACGTGCCGAAAACCAAGGGGCGGCAGGCCGTATTAAAAGTGCGTGGGGAGGAGGCACTTCGGAGTAATTTACGCCACCTAGGATACGTAACACGCACCGAAGCGCAGATTCCATCCTACGTAACGCTATACCTGGAGGTCGACCTTGCACTACAATGTGTTCATTTTAGAGGTTCGCACCTATAAGGTGAACTCGTCACTAGTATTCGAACCGCAAAGCTAGAGCGTTTATTCGACTTCACGAGTGGGATTTTCACTAAATGACGTCTGTGCATGGGTCGATAATCCCGATGATAGTTCTGCCAATTATGCACTAAACATCAGCTGCTACGAGATGTTTACTGCCATTGTGCTGTACAGCCTCAGCGTCTACAGGGGTGACACTCATTTACGCATTGCATCGAATTCCACGGCCGGCTTATTCGCGCCCTTTATCGTGCTTACCTGCGCAGCGCCATTACTATCACAACGCGTGAAACACGCACTTAAGTAGTTGGGTCATCAACGAACGACATGCTCCGATGTGCTCGCCGATTCTCTCGGAAAACGCCGTTGACCGACATGCGACGACGTTTGCGCAACGTTTCAGCCCATCTCCCTTTTTTTTTTCACCATCGCTCGTCGCCTGTTTGTTATCGTAGCGAAGCGATATTACGATAAGGAACTCATACACGTCGGCAGAGTCGTTGTTGTTGTTTTCCTATTGTTAGTGGCGCATACCCACTGTGGGGGATTGGCCAAGAATCGAGTGGTTTCAAAATTTACTGTTCAGATTTGGAATGATGGAGGTTTAACAGAAAGATTACCGATAGCCTAGGAAAGAGTCATCTTGTCTTATTGCCTAGAAGATCTTGGCTCATACCCACAAGGGGGATATTGGCCCCACTGTACCTTATAACGTAATTTTTTTTACACAACGCTTGCTAAAAAAGGGAGAAATTTGATAAGAACAAGAAATAACGTCCCTTAAAAATAAAAAAAAAATGAAAAGGGCAGAAGAATTTGATAAACCAGAATATATAGAACAAATTAGCAAAAATGAAGAAAGGGAGACAAAGAATTGGATATATCTGGCGGTACCACTAGCAGCGTATCCTTCCGGTTGCCTGAATGAATTTATGTAGCGCTGACAGAATCATCTACATTTCGCGACAAAGCTTCGTCTTTCTTTAGAACAAGCGCAATACGAGAAAGAAAACGAGGGAAAAGGCAACCAAGCGTATACCTTTGTGATCTTCAATCAAAAAAATTATTTATTACTCCTCAGGGCAGAGTGAAGTAAACGCAGCTGAGTGGTAATCATAACACCTCAAATCTCAAAATTGCTCAACTTGATTTTTTTTTTCGTTTGCTCTTTTTATGTTGTTTTTATTTTTACATTAGTCTTATTATAATACCAATTCATTACACATAGTTAAAATGATCACAGAAAAACTGCACTACACTTTCTTGGCCAATCCCCCTGAGTGGGTATGAGCCAAACCTCCCAGGGAAACAAAACAAAACAAAAGACTGCACAAATTAGCGCATTTACATCGAGAACCAGCATTTTTTTTTTTTTCAAAACAGACACGCGCAGCACTCAGCCTCACTCATAGGACTCGCACCAAGCTCAACTTCCTTAAATAGAGGTATAAGGTCCACAATACAATCCGCCGACGATTTCACGCACAGCTGGTGTGATACGGTAACGGGCAGTCTTCCCGGAATGCTCTTGTAAAACCTGCCGGGACAGGATCGTTCGTGAAATACGAGGTATAGATTCCGTAGCCCCGAAATCGACCTAACTTGCAGTTAACGAACCGAAGTTCGCTCGCATGCGTTTCAGACCAGGCACGCAACTCATATGCGCCACTATTCGCGCTGCTGCTGCCGCCCACAGATCTAAAACAGCGCCGCTCAGGTTGTGCGGCGGAGGAGGCAAGCTGCATTCTCTGTGGCATCGCAAATTCAGAGATGCGACTAGCGCTTGACGAAATAAATAAATGAAAAGAAACCTAGAGTAAGTGGTCCGACGTTCGAGCCCCAACAGACGACGCCAGCGGGCGAAACGACAACAAAACGTTCGATATGTCACGCACGTAAGGCCAGCCTCAGGCGAGTCTGCTATTTGTTTATTTAGTCCGATGCCAACTCTCACAGCCTCGCACAGTTCATATGTAGCTTCAACGCCACGCAAAAGCTCTGCTATCATAAAAAAAAACAGAAAAAAAGCCACAAAGACGCAGTTCAAGTCCCTTCAGTCGCAGTGGCTTCGATTACGAATCGAACGCACGACCTTGAGATCCTCGAGCCGACTTCCGACACGTTTTGCGCACCAAATGAATTGCATTTGAAATGTTTCGTGGGCTCCACCAACAAAACAGAATACAAAAATAGTGAGTAGCATTTAGGAACAAAATGAGGTCACCGTAATCCACATGGTGGGCAACTTCATAACGTAGTCATCGTCCACGCGTTGCCATCCTATTTTTATGCACCGCTGCTTTTACAAACGTGTCTATCTAGTCTATGCACAGGTGAACGAAGGATTATCACTCGAATTGTGTAATCAGAGTGGTGCTGTAGTCGGGATTAGGCAAATAGGGGGTAATGAACGGAGGCGTTACCAAGGGCTTTGGTGAGAGAGATCACAGCTGCGAAAACTGAGACAAAGCACGAAAAAAAAAAAAATGAGAGAGAGGTAGCGCCTATTCCGCGCGTAGTAGGGCCACAGCTGAGGCAAGTGGCTCATGTAAGCTACACCACCGCGTAGTTAGGGTCCTCCAGGTCCCCCTGTTTGCGGACCGGAGCTACGTACAAACACGAAGGCCACAGCCGTTGCTCGCTGCGCCTGATCATCGCCAGCAGCTCGCTTCGCCCCGCCCGATAATCGCGGCCGCCGTGCCACATACGACGCGGCGAGGGGGCAAAGCGAGAGTGAAAAGAGAGAGGGATACGAAACAAGCAGGGATGTTTATTGTCTTCGCACGGTTGGATACCTGCGCTGAAACGTAGGTCGTTTTATTCGTGTCTTTTTTTTCGTTGCCAGTCAATAGAGACAATCGGCATATGGAGCTTCCAGGACGAACTTTTCCACGGTTTGGGGTCCGATCGTGACCAGAGACTACCCTCTCATCCTCACAGCAAGGACTCTCATTGCACAACCGAATGCGAACGGAAGCCGTTAGCTCCCAGGTTTAAGTCCACGGTCGCGAAACGTAACGGAGATTGAGACACGATAGTAACTAAATAAAAACACCGCTCTGCCTGCGTAGCATCACTCGAGAAACGCCCATTTGAAGCTAGCTCAGCGACTTTTTTTTTTCTTTCGCTTTGTTCTCCGATTGGCCTCTTTCCTCGCCAACATCAACGACACACCCTTTCCACATTTCCGCTACGGAGACTCGCATTCACCCTTTCTCCCTCACCTTCAGTGTTGCAACCGCGTCCACATTGAGCCCCTTATCGAGTTTAAACACTAATTTTACTCTCCGCGACTGCGCATCGCGATCAGCTGTCGACTACGGTACACGAGTTAGATATGCAGATTGCGTTACTGTAGTTCTAGATACGGGAATGGCTTATCTGATCGAAATTTTTTACCGTCGCCGCCGCCGCCTCGTAAAAATGTCTGCCATCTTGGCTGCGCTGCGGCGGCTGGCTGTTACCCGACGGTTGGGGGGCCCTCGGTAATCCAGAGCGACGCACCACGTCGGCGCATTCGCCGGTGTCCGTTCCGAGTCGAAAAATGCTGGCGAGGCACTTGAATGCGATTGCGCAGAGGCAAAATTCCACGCACTGTTGAGAGCAGTTTCAATGGCCACCACCGCAACAAGCGCGAACCACCGCTGCAGCTTCCTCATCTTCGTCACATCTGTGTTGTTGCGCGACAAAAATTATATAAACAATGTCAACACTCAATAATCACGCATATTAATATCTTAAGAGCAAAAATGCTCAATACATGTGATAATAAAGCAGGATTCAACGTCTTTAAAACAAATTGTTGCGCACCATTTCTTTGGAACTACATTTTGCAGCGGCAGTGGCGGCGTAACACAACCAACCAAACTGGAAGGCAAACGGGCGCGTGGGCATTTCCGCGCCGCCCGTCGACCTGTGCACAACGCATCAGCAGATCGAGAGACAGCCTGGTTCGGACGTCGATTTATTTTTGTGTTTTCCATAATCCGTTCAGATGACTGCGGACTTTTCATTTCTGGATTACAACGTATTAGATGTGAGCATTTTTTGAGCGTGTCATGGGCGAAGTGCAAACGCCTTGCGAAGACCTTGTCGTTGGGGGCGCTCGGGCGCCAGACGGCGAGCAGACGACAACCGGAAACGAGCCCTCTACCGGAAGTTCTCCCGAGACTGTTGCTCCATCTACGGACTTGCCCAAGAACCTTGATGTTGAAGAGCAGCGATGCGAGGAGCAGGAAGGTGGTCCTGGGAAGCTCGTCCGTTCCAACTCTTTCGGTGGAAAGAAGAGAAAGAACCGTCGTGGGAAGACCAAAAAACGCAAGTGGAAACCTTATTATAAACTCTCTTGGGAAGAACGCCGCGAACTCGAGGAGCGCGAGTCGCGTCGCGCCAACCGGATTCGACAGCGTATGTTCGCCCACGGTCAGCCGGTGGCTCCTTACAACACGACGCAGTTCCTTATGGAGGACCACTGCGTGCAGGAGCCGGACTACGAGAGCATGAACGGCCACCACCGGCATCGCGAGAACAGCATCAACGACAGCGTGGACAGCTCAGGACGAGTTTTACAGCTCGCCCGAAGACGAAGAGGACTTCCTGCAGAAGCAGTTCAGCGAGGCCTACGAGGACGTTCATGCCGAGAGGCTAAACTCGATGAGCAAGGCGGAGCTTGTTCAAGAGTACCTGCTACTGGAGGAGCGTGTTGAGGAACTGGAGCACAAGTTGAAGGAGGCTCGTGCTGCGCGTGCCGATGCACAGACTCAGACGGGGTGTGTCGACGCGCGACCGCCGGCCACCGACTCCGTGGAACAGGCTCAGCAGAAGATGGCCGTGTTTCGCGACGAGATTCGAAAGCTCGCCGACGAGAACGCTCTGGTGCGCAAACACAATCGGGCGCTTCGCGAGGTGCTGGACACCAGTCCGGCCGAACTGTCGGCCTCGTGATTTCACGTCCACTCTGTTTTGCTTTTCCCCGGTGTGTACATACGGCACTTTCATTTTGGATTTTTTTTTTCACATTGAAAAGAAATCTGATCGCACTCATAAAACATCTCAGCGCGCGCGTCTTGGCTGAACTTTAGTCTCTCTCTCTCTCCTGTCTAGCCGTACGGGTAAGAGTGCTTTACAGGGGCACTGCTGCGGCCTTTCAGGACTTTTTTTTTTTTTGCTATGGTGAATATGTTTTCCTTAATAAGTGTGGGCAAATTTTTTAAAGCCTCTTCTTTTCTAGGTAAGTGCTTAGTTTATTATTTAATAACAATCTAGTTTTGGTTATTTTGTGGTATTTCGCTATGATCGCTTACTGTTTTGTGGACGTGCGGTCATCTAGTGGAGAAATCGGTTCGAGCTTAGAGGATTCGGGTTTTCTGCACCACACGTGCCACTTGATAGTGTGTGGTCTTAGCCATGTGACCACCTTCCACTACTGATTGCTGCGAATAGTTACTGAAGCCGCCCTTACCGACTTTCCCGTTTTGTTTACGGTTTGAGTTACTAACGGTCGAGTTTTCCTAATTTATTAAGGGGCACTTGTTATCTCCGCACCCGGAGCAATATGCTTTAGCATTGATAATGAACCGTTCTAGGACGTGCTCACTCACTGAGGATGAAGAATTGTGTGGTAGCACTCGGCGACTTTAGCAAAGCGAACTTGTTGAAGGTCAAACCGTGCATAAAAAAGTGATATGAAAGCAATGTCCCCAACATCTACGAATGCCAACGGCCTTGAAAGTTTTCGATAATTGGTATTATATGCTCTTTACACGGTAATGAAGCTGTGCGTTATTGCAAGTATTGGAAATATGACGGGTCCGTTAAGAGGTATCTATGTATGAAAAAGCGGCAACATTAAAATGCATGTAGATGGTGAATTCGGTTAGTAGAAAGTAGTAATATCGTTTGGGTTATGATGTGGATCGGCAGGCGGCGCCTCGTTTGCATGTGTGCGTGTATGAACCACAAGCAACCATCATTCACCTTAGTTAATAAGCTTTGTCTTCGCCGCGTATACGAGAAACGAGTGGGCAGAGTTACCGTGCTAGGATTAGCAGAACCTTAAGACGTTTGGCCAAGGAATAGGACGAATGAGACGATCATGGGGCTGCTATGATCTCACTGCGATAGGAACTTTGTGTATGCGAGTTTTTCGGCGTCCTTACCTAAACACTTCCACGTAAGAAAGGGGTGGCGGAAAATCTTCGACTGCGTAACCTAGTATAAAGTCGGTTAAGAGTTCTTGCTGTGTCCAACTTGTCGTCTGCTACGTTGCTGTTATTAACGCACATTTCACAAGTGAGCTATCGTCCATTACAACGATTACGTTCTTATTGTTGCGTGAAACGTCGTAACATGGTAGTCGGCACATCTGAGCGATGAGAATATATACATGAGGGTTTGAGAGGCTGTCCGGCATAGCTTTTATTATCTGCCGCTGCTGGAAATTCAGATGACGATTGTCGTCTGTGTTCTGTAAGTGCACCATACAGCCGCCGTTGACCTTTGGCGTCTGTCACTTTGTGTTAACATAACGCTTCCACAGCCAGTCTTGCAACAGTGACAGACGACGTAAAAGGAGCCGAGTATGGCGTCTGCTAGGGCCCGCGTTGTCGTTTGTCGATAAAAACTGTTTACTAGCATTAACCATTGGGTGAGTTGGTACGAATGCGTGCATGTAGAATAGTGCCACAAAGATGACGAAAAAACAAAGTATCACTTGTCTTTAAATTTCATCTGCTGTTTTGCACCATTCCAAATCCATGAAAGACTGTTTAAATTGTGTTCTGAGGAAAGCGATTTATAAACATACAAAGTCTGTAAAAAAAAAAAAAACTTCACTGAACCAATGCGGTCAAAATACGCGAAAAATACTTTAAATGTGTGACGTCACACTGAAGTTGAAGGGCTCAAGTTGAGGTGCGAAATTTAAACACGAATCTTTGACCTTTATTTTCCCCTTTCAATGAATATCTCCTGACGGCGAAGTTAACGAGAATAGAGGTCTGGAAGAATAACTTATCTGCCTAAACTGGTTTACTGTTTCATTTCAGCATCCCTTGAAAAAAATCATCCTAAAAGATCATCGTAGTCCCCCTCTCCCGCTTTACTCCGCGTCACTTTAAGCACCAACTCGGGCTTTGGACGAGCGGGAAAATAAATCGCGAATACACGTTCCTCGCTCAGCCGTGAAATCGAGTGACCTCTGCGATGCTCTCGCGCCGCCTCATTGTTCTTCGGGCATCGTCTAAGAGGTGATCATAATCGCGTGTCGTCCCTCATTTTCTCTTCTCCACCAGGGACGAAGAGAATGCGAAATAGCTTCTTGGCGCATGCGCAACGAGGCTTCAGCGCGTTAATAGAGCAAAGCGGGTTCAGGAAGGAGGGGTTGTTTAGCGGGGAAGCAAGGAGGCGCGCATCGCAGGGCGCGGCGGCGAGTTGGTAACGGCGAGTAGTTTGATTTATTCATCGTCGCAAGGGCGCAGGGCCTGCGGTTATTCCCGCCGCTTTCGTGCCGAGGCGGCGGTGCGTCATCTTGAAGTTGTTCTCTCGCTCTTCTTATTTGTTTGTCAAGCCCCTCGGAATATTAGAGAAGGGAGGGGTCGTCACTGGGAAACAAGCGTGTAAAGAGAAATCCGAGCGGATCGAAGGAAGGAGTTTGCTTTCGCGGCTCTTCCAGGCTCGCGAGGCTTTCTTCGGAAAGGAAGAGAACGGTGATCACCTGTGACGTCTTCGCAGGAAATGAACTGAACGGTACACGAACAATGGCGGGATTAATACCGCGTTGTTGGGACATAAGAGCAGAACAAACCGGTTTGGTAGGCTCGGTTGCAGGAGCTTCGCCAGAATTTTTATTTCAACGGATGTGGGTGCGGCGATCTCTGCGAGTATACGCTGGTGTGCGTGTGTGTGTTCTCGAATACGCGCATGTATTTATATACGCAAATACGAACTGAAAATTATGGCGCACCCCCTTCTAAAGGGGCATTCAGGCACTCTAATTCGGGGGTAGACGCGGAATTGCGGACCGCCTGGCAACAACGTCACGGATTTGCGAGGGCGAGCAACGTCAGGTGCAACGCTGCGGAAGCTATGCGAGAAGTTCGGCCAGCAAAACGTATAACGTGTCATCTGATTATTATAGAGCTGTTGCATCCTCGCATTTCTTAGTACTCCCCTTAGTGCTCCCCACACGCGACAGGCGAACAGAAAAAAAAAAAAAAGCCGAGTGAGCAAAAAAGAGCGCGGGTACCGAATGACCCCGTGGTCTATCCTGCACTGACACTGGAAGTCCAGGTAGCTGCCATAGTGATCTACCTGGAGTAGGGAGCCTGTATGTGACGTCACGTGAAAACTAAGCTACACAGCCACACAATATCAGACATTCAACGGCGTTTTGTTTACATCTTCTGTTACTTCTCGCCGTTAAAAAGAAAGAAAAATTAAATTATTTGTGGTAAGGACACCGTACTACTTTTTGTTGCGAACGCATCAACTGCAAGAAGTATCGCTAGCTTCCGCAACGCTGCACCTGACGTGTGAAACAGAGACTCATTAGTCTAAGGTGGTGTTCGTGTACACCCCATAACAAAGAAAAACGAGCCCTGGCCGTTTCGCTAACGGCAGACAAGCAGCCCTCGTTGAAAAAAAAGTCGGTTCTCGCGGTGTTTTAAAACACTCCCGCCGGAGGGCGCTGCTTCGTTTGCACGCACCTGCAAGCATTCCAGGCGTACCACATGTGATTGCACATGACAACAGGAAGAGAGAGAGAGATAATGGAGTCTACAGTTTATGCGTTTTTGAAGCGAAGCACACCGTTGCAGGGACCGTTTTGGTATGAGCGCGCCGCATGTGCGTATCCCTAAAATATACGAGGCTTACGTGTTACTTTGCTTTTCCTGGTTTAATTTTACTTTGTTTTAGCTCGCCTGTGGCACTCAGTACTGTTCGCTAATGACCTCTTTCAACTCTAAGAGAAATCAGAATGGGCAATAACGAATCAAGAAAAACAAAAGCAATGCTAGACAAAAATTGCCGTAATGACGTTGCATGAAGACATGCAGTATTGCTGTAATAACAGTAAACAGTCGACATATTTCGGTAGTAGTCGAAGGAAAGTGTAACGTTAGGCGCTTGTTTCTTTTCTGATGCACAATATTAATTAGAACTAACAGACAATAATACCAGGCAAAGTATAGGGGATATACCATACTTTTCCTGGCATTATTGTCTGTTAGTTATCGAATTCGGTATTAGCCGGGATTGAAGCGGCACTTGAAAAGTTATTCACTGCCAGCACTGTGCCGAGCAAACTCCCTGCTGAAATTCGATCAGTAATTGGCCATATTTCGTCAATTAAAGAACGTATAGTGAAACTGACCCAGGAAAGAGTTGCGTTCAGTATTCACTAATTAACTTCTACTTTGTAATGTACATCTTTATGATTACGTTTAGCGAATTGCGAAGTGGATGATGATACGTGAGCTGCCCCGCCGCGGTGGTCTAGTGGCTAAGGTACTCGGCTGCTGACCCGCAGGTCGCGGGTTCGTATCCCGGCTGCGGCGGCTGCATTTCCGATGGAGGCGGAAATGTTGTAGGCCCATGTGCTCAGATTTGGGGGAACGTTAAAGAACCCCAGGTGGTCTAAATTTCCGGAGCCCTCCACTACGGCGTCTCTCATAATCATATAGTGGTTTTGGGACGTTAAACCCCACATATCAATCAATTATGATACGTGAGCTCACCGGCTCATTGAACAAGAGAGGATGTCACGTGATGACGACATGGTGACGTCACGAAGACTTGCTATTTGTGACGTCATAAATCGACGTCATCCCACGATAATTAGTTTTTTTTTTTCCTTTTGCATCACTGGCGTTGGCGCTTGATGAGTCATGTGGGGGGCTTCGCCTTTAAAACTGTCTGCCGTTTTACGTATGAAAACCGCTATGTTGAGGCATATGTGACAGAGCTGTCCGGAATGTGCGCCTAAATCGAAGCATGCACGGGTCCCCTGGCGATTCCCCTCCGTTGAAATGCGGCTGCTGTGGCGGGGATCGAAACCGCGTTATTCGGGCAGCAG